TCAAGATCAAACAGGTGCAAGAAGAAGGGGTAGTGATAGGAAGGAAGAATATATGGACATTAGGATATGCAGATGATATAGTTATGATGGCAAAAAATGAAAGTGGAATAAAAGCATTGCTGAAAAAATTAAAAAGGTACCTGGTAGAAAAGGGATTAGAGCTAAATGTAGGAAAATTAAAGATGATAAAATGCAGGAGTGGAGGAGGAAGGGGAAAGGAAGAAGAATTCGAATAGAAAGGTGAGAAAATAGAGATGGTTAAAGAGTACAATTACTTGGGACATGTGATAAGCAGAAATAACGGAAAGAGAAAGCAGATAAAGAAGGTAGAAGGGAAAATAAATATGGGACTCAGAAAAGTATGGGGGCTCGGAGAAAAACTATTTAGAGAAAATTGGGAGCTAAGGATGAACCTGTTCGAAAAGCGTGATTATGTATGGAGCAGAAATCTGGGGTTGGAAGAGATATGAAGAAATAGAGAAATTACAACTAAAATACATAGAGTGGGTATTGGGATTAGATAGAAACACGCTAAGTTACTTAATACGATGGGAAACAGGAAGACAAGAAATGAAATAAACAGCATTAGAAACAGCAATGAGGTATGAAATCAAAATAAGAGAAGAAAGAGATGGCTTAATAAAAAAAGAAGCATGAAGAGAACTAAAGAACAGGGAAAGAAATGAAAAAGATAAAAAGGGTAAGAAGGAGGAGAGAGAGGAAAAGCTAAGAAAAAGTAAAATATATAGAGAGAGGGAAGAGGGAGACGAAATAAGAGAAGAGTTTTCGGAACAAATAAGAGAAGAGCTAAAGAAAAAAGAGGAAAAAGAACTAGAAGAATAGCTAGAAAAGTCAAGATATATAAGCGAGTGGAAAGAACTGAAAGAATAAATGCAACAGTACAGATTAACGGAAATTCAAGGAGAGGAAAGAATAAAAGGCCTACAAATAAGGGAAAGGTTTAGGTTAGGTAATGAAACCAAAAGAAGTAGATATTGGGAAAAAGAAGAAAACAAGAGATGCAGAATGTGTATGAAAGAGGAAAAACATTGGAAGCACATAGTAAAAAAATGTGAAAAAAAGCAAAAAGGATGGGTAAGAATGGGAAAAAATAATAATAGGAAGCAAAGAAAAGATAGCGTGGATGATGGAGCTAAAATGGAAAAGAAGAAGAAACGAAGAGGAGAAAAAAAAAGAAAAACAAGAAGACGAAATTTCAAAACTCTAAGGACAGAAGGAAACAGAAGACAGAGACGCAAGACTCGCAGATACATCTACATACGCAAACATACGAGGTATGATCAAAAAGTAAGGTGAATTTTTATTTTTCTCAAAAAATATTTATTTATTCATCAATTTTTATTTTATCTCCTTCAAAGTAATCCCCCTCGGATATAATGCACTTGTGCCAACGCTTTTTCCAATCCTCAAAGCATTTCAAAAAATCATTTTTTGTGATCTTGTTTAGTTCATCCTTCGATGCCATCTTTATCTCCTCAATCGTGGCAAAACGCCGTCCTTTCATGGGCCTCTTCAGTTTTGGGAACAAGAAGAAGTCACAGGGGGCCAGATCTGGGGAATACGGTGCCTGTGGCATCGTTACTGTGTTGGTTTTAGCCAAAAATTCGCGCACAAGCAACGATGTGTGAGCAGGGGCGTTATCATGGTGCAAAAGCCAATTTTTATTTTTCCACAAATTCGAACGTTTCTGGCGGATTGCTTCGCGCAAATTGCGCATAACTTGCAGGTAATATTCCTTATTTACTGTTCTACCCTGTGGCAAGAACTCATGATGCACCACGCCCCTGCAGTTAAAGAAAACTGTAAGCAAAACCTTTACATTTGATCGAACTTGGCGTGCTTTTTATGGTCTTGGTGATCCAGAATGCCTCCACTGGGACGATTGAGTCTTAGTCTCGACGTCATAACCATATACCCATGTTTCGTCACCTGTTATAACCCTGTTGAGTAAATCTGGATCATCATTGACGTCATTCAGTAGCTCTTGGGCGATGCTCATGCGACGTTTCTTTTGGTCGAAATTGAGCAATTTCGAAACAAACTTCGCTGACACACGTCTCATGTCTAAAACACTCGTCAAAATTGATTGGCACGAACCAAATGAGATGCCAATATCATCAGCAATTTCTCTAATGGTAATTCGACGATTTCCCAACACTATTTTCTTCACTTCTTCAACATTCTCATCAGTTGTTGATGTGCTGGGGCGTCCAGAACGAGGTTCGTCGTCGGTGTCTTCTCGGCCTTCTTGGAAGAGTTTATACCACTTGTAAACATTTTTTTGGCTTAAAGTAGACTCACCGTATGCCACTTTCAGCATTTCAAGTGTTTTGGAACATTTGATTCCATTTTTCACACAAAATTTAATGCAAACTCTTTGATCTATGTTTTTAGACAGCAGCAAATCGTGGAGCACGCAAAACACTTCTAACCTTGATGCCTCTCACAAACAAACCAAACATACTACAAAGCTGAAATTTGGAACGTATGTTCTAGACGAGTGTACCGACATAACCAAATAAAAAAGTCGAAGATCGAACGGACGTAGCCCGCTAAATTTCAAAATTCACCTTACTTTTTGATCACATCTCGTACACACAAAACACACACACAAACATACACACAAAACACACACACAAACATACACATACACATACGAGGTCTGTCCGGAAAGTATCGGGCCTACCTTTATATCTTCGCGATATAGCGTTCAAGCGACCTCTACCGGACAGAAATGTCAACAGTAAAGCCTCACGAATCTATTGGTTACTTACTGACACCTGCCGGACGTATAGTTCATGCGCAGCGTGTCTTTGTTTACAGTGCCTTTTTCCCGTTCGCCGGATTTTGATATTGTCAAAAATGACTGAAAAACAAGATCAACGAATTTTCATCAAATTTTGCATTCAACTCGGAAAAACGAGTTCGGAAACTATTGAAATGATGCAAAAGGCCTTCGGAAGCGAGTGTATGAGCAAAACACGAATAAAAGAGTGGTATAAACGGTTCAAGGATGGTCGCACTTCTGTCGATAGTGATTCTCGTTCCGGCCGACCTTCGACGACAAAAACCGCAGATAATATCGAGCGGGTGCAACTTGCAATCGAACAAGATCGTCGTATGACTGCGAGAACTAGAAGAAGACCTTGGGATACCAAAAAATATCATTTCAGAAATTTTAACCGAAAATTTAGGAATTAAACGCGTGTGTACGAAATTCATCCTAAAATTGCTCACAGCAGAGCAGAAGAACATTCGCTTAGAAATCGCTCTGGACAATCTGAAAATGGTCAATAATGATGATAATGTGCTTAGAAAAGTTATTACAGGTAATGAATCATGGGTTTATGGTTATGATCCTGAAACTAAACAACAATCTTCACAGTGGAAGCATTCTGAATCGCTAAGACCAAAAAAAGCACGTCAAAGTCGGAGCAATGTTAAGTCAATGTTGATTGTTTTTTTTCGATTGTGAAGGTATTGTATATCACGAATATGCACCAACAGGTCTGACAATGTTGAGCAAACACAATATCGCATTGCTTCGACAACCTCCATACAGTCCCGACATAGACCCTTATGACTTTTGACTGTTTCCAAAACTAAAAAAACCCTTCAAAGGACACTGATTCGATTACAAAACAACTGTTAAAAACAATGCGACGAGTGTACTTAAGGCTATCCCTAAAAGTGAGTTCCAGGGCTGTTTTCAAAAGTGGAAACATCGATAGAACCGTGTTATTCAATCAAGTGGGGATTACTTTGCAGGATGCCACCCACCAGATGATAAAGAATAACGCTAGCACGAAAATATAAAGGTAGGTCCGATACTTTCCGGACAGACCTCGTATACACACACTCACTAAACACAAGTACTAGCAACTACACAAGCGAGAGGAAGCAGGTATTGAATGCACGAGCAAAAATGGAAAAGAAGAAGAATCGAAGAAGAGAAAGAAAAAGGAAAACAAGAAGACAAATTCTAAGATATTAAAGAAAATAAGTAAGGTTGAGGAAAGGAAAGGCAGAGGGAGCAACAGAAAATGAGAAAAAGGTGTCAAAGCCCTAATAAGGAGAAAGACAGATGGAACGATTAACAAGAAAGAGAGTAAAAGCAAAGTAAAGGCAAAGGTGAAATGGCAAAAGAAAGAACAAAGGAGGAAGTTGAAAAGAAAATAATCAAGAAAGAGAAAAACAAGAGCGGAAAAGGTAGATCTCGGAGAGAGAGAGAGGAAGAGAAGATTAATCAACAGAAAAATAGGAAGAAAAGCTGAACAGACAGAAGCAGAAAACAGGGACGCATGAGTTGCAGACATACCTACATACGTACACATATACACAAAATACACACACACACACACAAAACACATACATTATCAATTACACAAACTGGTCATGAGACACAATTGTAATGTAAGAAATGAAAACTAAATGTCACATATAAGTTGTAAATAAATAAACTATAAATATAAAATTCTATAATAACATAAAAATGATAAATAAATAAAAATTAGTATAACAACAACAAAATGGTTAGAAAAATGACACGACAATTCATAAAAATTCATTTTTTTTAAAAAAAGTTCGAGCTTTCTTCAAGAAAGTCTACTAATAATATAGTTAGCAGCAAATTCGTTAACTTGATATTTATTGAGACATATAAGTTTGTGATGATTTCATGCTTATTTACTTACGTCTTGTGATCGTAATCTTCATTGAAAAACTGCTTAAAAAAATTAATAAATAAATAACAATATGTAATGAAAAAAATATATATAGCTAGCAAATATGTAGATACTAAAATTAAAAGACAAAGCAGCAAAAAAAATTAAAACTAGCGTTTAATAAATATTGAAATAGCGTTTTATTGAAAATTGTCATTTCACAAATTAAAAAAAGTTCTTCCAAAAAAATCAAAACAGCATTCTTTAAATTAATAAAAAACATTGGTCGAATAATTTACGGATTATTCTATGCTATTGATTTTATTGATTGTATCATTCATTATATATGTTTCATATAAGAAATATACACAGTAAAAATTATAATACTAAAAAATATAGAAAATGATAAGGTTATCAATAAATTATTTGAAAAGATCAAATTTTCTGTAAACTATAGTAAAGAATGGTTATTTTACCAGTGAGTTACATGCTTTCGAAGACACATAATCTTCGAGTGAATTTTTGATGGTTTTAGATTAAGAATGTTATAAGTATCGATAAATTTAGAGTTTTTCTTTCAAAATGGTATCCATATTACTATTATTATTATTTTTAGCTATTTTAGGCATATAAACACTCTGTGAGCGTAGTAAACTATTTGCTTTTTTCACAGCTGAGGTTGTTGAGAGATTTACAGTAGACTGGGCTTTCAAAAATAAGCTCGAATCAAATCGACTAGTTTCTCTAATACGCACATCGCTGTCAGCAATATCCATACTTTGAACACAAAATCTGCAATCATAAATCCGTATTTACCGATAAGCTACATTTCAAGTTTTTAATTTTTTACCTGCCAATTCTCTTATAGTTAATACTGCTCTTATTATTGGGCTGTTTGAAGGCATACTGAACATCATGTCTGGTATCTTCAGATTGTTCGAAAATCAACGTGCGATCTTTATTATTATAAGCGTCATGATTACCTTCATCTTTTATTTCGTTGATACATGTAGTAATATGATCCCCACTAAAATCATGGTTGACATCACCTTTATTTCTGCATGAATGTTCAGTCGATGAAGTTGCACAATAAACAGGTTTTACAAAAAGGGGTAGACAATTATCATTAACAGATCGCCGTATTTGCCCATCTTCGTTGCTGTAGTAGTCCGTGTAAGAAACACTACCACGACTTTCTCGCGTCTCTTGCTCGATTCGCATGCAATATTCGACGTAGTCGAACTCATGTCCATGGTTGATTGAATATTTGACCTGACTACTTGGAGGTACTTGAGACCTTTAATCAAAAATTTGCCTATTAATTGTTAGACTTTCAAAGTAATGTGTATATTTATATATTGCAACTAACCGATCAGTGCTAGCTAATCTTATTGGTATACTGTATTTTCCTGCAGAGTTCAAACTAGGAGACGATGGCTCAGAAGATATAAATGATTCGCTGCTCCACGTGATACCTTCATGAAAAGTAATATATATCATTAAATAGAGCATTTATATTTATTATATAAGAAATAAACTTACTGGTTGGACTTGTTGGAGAAATATGGTGCTTAATATCGTTCAATTCACTGTTGAACATAGTTTCTTTGGAATGAATTGACATCGCAGTCACGTACCTGTGACAAAAAATGAAAGATAATTCAATAAGTATAAAATATATTGCTCATTGATTCAATAAATATTTTGAAATAACACATAAAAGTTTTTAAATTATTAATTAGTTTGAGATTCGTATCTCTTTCTCAATCACAGTTTTGATCCATTTTAGTTTGAAGAGAACTTATTATAATTACATGTCAGTGAAAAATAAAAAAACGCAAAAACTTTAATTGCGTTTATAGTGTGTAATAATCCGACAGGGCATGAAATAGAGGAATATCCCAGTCAATAAGATTTCAAGTAATATTTCTGATATATATGAATATATTTTTTTGATTATTTTATGACACTAGTATATGACTGAGATTCGTCACCTGCCACTAGGTTTAATATAATTAGCCGACAAATAGCTCGGGGCAGCTCTGTATATCTTAACTACTCACATAAGGGAAAGACATCGACTAAGCTGGTGATAAAGTTTTTCATCTATTCATTTAAACTTTTGTAAAATTATGGAGTTTGATCGGTAATCTCTCTCCTTGGGTTGGGTACGACAAGCACGTAATCGGTGGTCGTCTAGATACACTCTAGATTTCCGTTCTGTTAATCCTACCTCCTCCTTACTTGAAGTATGGAATGATAACGACGACCAGCGTGCAAGCGTCTTTACCAGGGGTCGGTAGAGATATTTCGAACCCTCGACTTTAGCGTGCACTCATAGCTAGACAAGCATTTTTCTGTATCATTATTATTACCCTATTATTATTTATTATTATTATTTTGTGAAAGACAGATTTTTTACATTGTTTCAAACGTTCAGTCGAGTCCTTTACCGGCGATCAGACTTACAACGGAACCACCCCAACCCTCCGCCTCCGATTTTCCTGCAATTGAGATATGTTATAGTTCGTAAAAAAAATAAAAGACCCGTTTTTTTTATCGGCGGAAAAAGCTATCTAAGGGATGAAACCGACCCCCAAAAAACAGCCCCAAAAGCAGATCTATAGTAATAACTTTAGTTGTAATGAATATTTTTTTATGAAACAAAAAGACACAAGATACTTATAAAAAAAGTAACAGACACACATCCATTTGGTCACCGGGGATTGCAACCCCTACGTTGTAAAGAGGAAAAACTGCATTTTTAAGAGTATTTCTACCTTACAAAATCAAAGAATTATGTTAAAAAAATTTTAAAAATGATATTCTAGTAGAAAATGATAAAACAAAATTGAAGTGTTTCGGGGTTTTCCTATTAATTATTATTTCGAGGGTGAACTACCCCTTAACCCATTTCATCCCAAGGCGCCATTTTATAGTTGATTTGTTTTTGACCGAAGAAAATCTCAAAATAATCGAAAATGTATACTAGAAGTCACTTTTCTATTGTAAAGTTTCCCGCTCTTTACGAATCTGTAGTCAGAATTAGGATATTTTTCACGGAAAATTACAAAATGGCGTCTTGAATGTTGATGAAAATTTAGTATTACATTAGAATTTTTCTTTCAGAAATTAGTTGCTAAAACTTATAGAATCAGGATGAAAATGTAGATTTACATTGAAAATATTAGTTCTTTGATAAACCTAGGCATTACGAATTTTCCTGGAACATTTTTCCAAGATGGCGGCCAGCAACATGTTGACAAGCGGGGAAATCTAAAATTTTCTAAATAAAAGCCGATTTAGAGAATGAATATATACTACCTATACTTTCGATGTCGCTGAATACAATGCTAGTGTCAATTTCAAGTTTACAAAATGGCGGATCCAATATGGCGTCGGTAATACCAAAATCAGTTTGTGTTGATAAAATCGCAAATCTAAGTGCTACATTTTGTCTTGAATTTTTAGCACTTTTTCTAGTATTTTCCAAAATAATTGATGCAATAGTGGAAGAAATTATTCATCAAGCGTACCTGTTTTTTCAAGATGGTAAGAGTCAAAACAATTTGCACATAGATACTCTTGACATTGTTCGCAATAAATATTTTATATATATTTTAAAAGAAGTTTTTAAGCTTGTTTCGTCGAAAACTGTGCATAAAATACGAAAATTTCACTATAAAATGGTGCTGAGGGGTAACTTTCGGGGGTAGCTTTCACCCTCTAAATAGTTTATTCGACAGAACAAAAGTATACATGTATTTGGCTTTATTGAGCGTCATAGAACGTGAAATAACCAGCATAATCTGCGATTAATGACTGCTTATATTGTATTAATAACATTAAGGGGTAGTTCACCCTCGAAATAATAGATAATAGGAAAACCCCAAAACACTTCAATTTTGTTTTATCATTTTCTAGTAGAATATCATTTTTAAAATTTTTTTAACATAAATTTTTGATTTTGTAAGGTAAAAATACACTTAAAAATGCAGTTTTTCCTCTTTACCACGTAGGGGTTGCAATCCCCGGTGACCAAATTGATGTGTGTCTGTTACTTTTTTTATAAGTATCTTGTGTCTTTTTGTTTCATAAAAAAATATTCATTACAACTAAAGATATTGCTATAGAACTGCTTTTGGGACTATTTTTTGGGGGTCGGTTTCATCCCTTAGATAGCTTTTTCCGCCGATAAAAAAAATACGGGTCTTTTATTTGTTTACGAACTATAACATATCTCAATTACAGAAAAATCGGAGGCGGAGGGTTGGGGTGGTTCCCTTGTAAGTCTGATCGCCGGTAAAGGACTCGACTGAACGTTTGAAACAATGTAAAAAATCTGTCTACGCAGAGAAAAAATTACATAAAATCAAAAGTTTTGTTACTAAAGCAGTATTCATCCTATAGAAGCCTTCGGGAGCTTATTTCGTAGGTTCTGGCGAGTACTTTGAGGTGCATTTCCTTTTGAATCGATTAATAATTTTTTTTCATGTTTTATCAATACATAAAGGTAAAGAAAAATCCAAAAATTTTTTGGAGAGACCAGCTGCACTCAGCAGGTCTCTGCATCAACCTCGAGAAGTGCCAGATTACACAGTCCGAGATCCTGTTCCTAGGTTTCACGGTGTCACAGCATGGTTTCAAGCCGTCTGCATACGCAATTGGCCACATCTCCACCCCAACTACCTACCAGCAGCTTCGCAGTTTCTTAGAATCGGTCAATTATTACAAGCACTGCATCCCTGACGTGGCTCAGTTGCAGGTGCCTCTGGATGACCTTCTCTGAGGCGCTGCCAAACGCAGCAAGAAAGCCAAGCTGAAACTCTGGTCGGCAGCCCAGGATAAGACTTTTGTCTTTTGCAAAAAGACGCTTCGTAAGGCAACCAACAGCGCTTTTCTCGCTCCAGACGCTGAGTTGGTCATAGGCGTTGGATGCATCTCTGGAACAAGTAGTGGATGATAGGCCCTGTGGGATTTTGTCCAAAAAGCTGACCCAAAAAAGGCAAACCAATTACAGTACCTTTGACAGGGAGATACTGGCAGCTTATGAGGCAATGAAACACTTCCAGAGGTTTCTGGAGGCCCGCAGTTTCTTACTCAGGACGGACCATAAGCCCCTTATTTTTGCCTGCTACAATATTTCCAACAAGACCACTCCAAGGCAGCAGAAGTACTATGATTTCATCCTGCAGCTAAACGACGATCTCCGACACATCAGCGATATACAACGTCGTAGCAGACATGCTTTCCAGGGCCTGCATTATAGGCATACCATCGGAACTTTTCGCCCATGATATCGAAGCAGCGCAGCGACAGGATCTAGAGCTGCTACATTTACTGGAAAGCGGCGCTCTAGCACTCCACTTCCTCCAAATAGATGGCGTCGAGGTGGCCTGCAACATCGCCAACGACATCGTAAAGCCATATCTACCAGTCACACGGCGATGCAAGGCCTTCGACGTACTGCACGGACCAGAGCATCCCAGCCCACGTACCACAGCGCGCGCGTTGGTGGTTGAGTTCGTTTAGCCTCACATTCGGAAGGACGGCTACACTTGGGCGCATGCTTGAGACCCGTGCCAAAAAGTCAAAGTCAGCAGACACAACCGTGCTGATTTGCAGATGTTCAGCGTCCCCGAGAATAGATTCGAACATATGCACGTGGACCTTATCACGCTGCCGCAAGTACAGAACTTGCGGTACTACCTCACCGTCATCGATCGCTTCACTAGGTGGCCGGTCGTGGTTACGTTGGCTGATATCACCACTGACATGATAGTCAATACCCTTATCCAGCACTGGATTGCTCTCTACGGTTATCTCATCACCATCACCTTGGTTCAAGGTTTATAATTCGAGTCTGCTCTCTTCCACTTTCTGACTCAGCTCTTAGGAACGCACCATGTACGCACGACGCCTTACCAAACACCGGCAAACGGCTTGGTGAAATGCAGTCATTGGATCATCAAGGCCCCGCTCATATGCAATGGCGACACTCCATGGCCGCAGCGATTGTCCATTGTGCTACTAGGTCTCCGCGCTTACCTCAAGAAAGACTTGGAGACTTCGCCAGCTGAAATACTGTATGGAACCACTCTTCGTTTGCCGAGGGAGTTTTTTGTCACGCACAAAGCTTCAGTAGACCGGCCTACTTTTGCCAAGCAGCTGTCAAGTATAATGCAGTCACTCCGTCCTGATTCCAGAGTGAATACCAATCATGAGTATTAGTGCCATGGTTGTGAAATTGAAGATAAAATCTTTCCGAGATTTAAATATCCGAGTTTAAAGCAGCACTTCATAGTTAAATGCCATAAGTCCAAACTGGTTTCGAGTAGAGCTTCGTATAGTAGAGATTTGTTTTCAATTGTCAACTCCGATTTTTCTTCGACGAGCTGGTACATGTTCCTCTGCTAGTTGTTCTGTTATAGTTCTAGCTGTTTATGTTTTGTAAATATATATTTATTTCATGTAAACTTGCGGTGTAGTGTGTCATATGCATATGATACACTACATATGTCATTGTCATGATATTAGTAGATTTTAGTAGATTCGAGGTGAATGACAGGTATAGTATTCAATTTAGAATACTATCCTACGGCACTTCTGCTTTTATTAGTTGACTTTTCGATACGTT